GTATATTGATCAATTGATAATTGGCCACGGCATATGAATAATTTAAAATTCTAACGACTTGGTTTCTGTTTGTATCAAAAATAGTGCCAGAAGCCATCCTCCGCGCTCTCGAATGGATCAAAAGCCACCCAGCACCAGAACAACAATAAATTGACCAAGTGAACAGTGATGAAGCAGTTTAGTCTGCTTTCGTTTTAACATTGGGTCTTTGGATAATAGCTTTTTTTTATTTAAAACATCTTTTTTGATGAGAGAAACAAAAACAAGAACAAAAACATTGAATTAGATTGACATGCCGAGTGGTAATCGTGATTTAGCGATTTAATTATCAATTATTTTTACCAAATTGTGTAATTTACGAGGCACGCCTTTTGTGCCCGACCAATTCATGTGAAATGTATCTACTTTATAGCACTGCTCAATACTCATCTTTTCTATTCAAATCAATAAAATAAAACTATCTGCGGAAACGGAGACACAAAAATATACAAAAAAATTACGACCTTACATATTATTGTTTGAACAAAGCGCTTAAATCTTGGGCTTTTTCATTAATCCCATTTGGATGCAAATAAAAATAAAAGTTATCGAAAATATGGTCATAAAAGTTCACAAAATACGCACACGAATACTATTAGCATCTTCATAGTAAACGAGAATAAAACCAATAACATGATGTAATTTACTCAAATTCCAGGCCCGTATCCAGACGGGCTCCGCCACCCCACGAATTTTTTCAGCCACTCCAAAAATCAAAATGCGGAATAAAATTATCGTAATGAATTGATTTAGAGAGCCGAAAGTGAAATGCTTGAATATGAATAATCGTGAAGCAAATATAATTCATGGAATTGAAATCAGAATGAGTTGCATTACGTTTTTCAATAGTATTAGTCAACACAAAAAAACGGCCGAACGGTCATCAGGACCAGCTAATATTGTGGAGCAAATAACTGAAAAGTACATTATTTCGCAAAGTGTCAATAGAAAAGATCCACCAGATAATACACCCAAATTTTCAATGAGCAAAAATGTGACAAATGAATATGACCATATCTTGAATCAGTATGGATTGGATAAAATTGATGGAAAAACGACCAAAATTGCAATAGGAAAGACATTGTATAAATCGATACTATGCAAAAGTACTGGATCGGTCGACCATTTTTTTATTTAAAAGGAACTATTAATGTTGTGACTTCAGAGCCCAATAAATTTGAGAAAACATTACAAAAAATAGCTGTCATCCTTGAGTGCATTTATTTAATGTTTTCTATCGTAGAAACACAGAACAATTTTGCATCTAATTTTTCAGCACAGTCTTTCAGAAGTAATGGGAAATGGTAATTCGAAACTAAAGTAAACAAACTCTTTAATTTCTTATTTTTGGCAATCAGAATTGTCGCTTGGGCGAAAAAGCGGAGTAATATTTTTCGGTTTCAAAACCGTTAATGGTATTATTGATTGAGATAGGAAGAGTGAGAGAAAGAGAGAGCACAGAGGTAAAGAGTACATAGCACACATGCAGCATATTTTCTTCTTTATAGTCTTTTGTTTTTCATTTCATTGGAACGTCTTATAAATAAAATTGCGCGCGCTTGGGCAAATGAGAGCGGCATACCCACAACATGCACACACCAAACAAACCACGAAATCATTTCCAATTGAATGTATCTTTTGTAATGGTTTTTTCAAGACAGATTGCAGAGGTAATACGAAACCCAAACAAATAATTTTTTTGGTTTGATTTTTTTTCTTCATTGTCATTGCTTGCTCACACTTTGAGAATCATGTTTTGTGTCTTGTGTATGTGTAAGTATATATGATTCATGCGATACTTGGAACAAAAAAAAACATATTTTCGGTCGTTCTTTCAGCAGCATCTTTGGTGTGACATAGTGGCACTGTGGGATTCACGTTATATCGCAAGTATGTAGTACATACTATAAGCCGATGCGTGATTTCGTTTGCATGCCGCGCGTACTCAATTCACTTGCGATATAACGTGAATTCCTATATACGCAGCGTTGCTATGTACATACTACGCGGGACGCGCAAACGTAATCATACCTCGGCCGACTTCGATGTACCGAATATAGGATTTCACTTTAAATATCGAGTTCACTGCATATATGATGCCTCGGCAACTCACGAATCGCCAAAGCAAGTGAAATGGCAAATCCACGCGTGTGCCGACAAGTCCACTGCTTCATTGAGCAGTATTGAGGTCGAAATTTTGGTTCTTCTTTTACTTCGCTTCTATGCAAAAGCACATTCCATCACAGAAATCTACGAGACTCCCATTACGCGAATGATCGACAAAAATGGAGAAAAGATGATTGAGTATCCAATAGGGTGGTGCGATTTTGATTTTGCAGAGGATTTCAAAACGTCGGGTGTGGAATCGATTCAGCACCTGAAAAGAAGTAACTTTTGTTCTGGGACATATGCCGAAAAGTTTATTCCCACTTTCCGCTACAATTTTAAAAAAATTGCATTTTTTGCTCATTTTCATGGAAAACTTGTTGAAATATCGCAAGAAATAGCCACTTTAAGGTCACTTTGGCTAGCATATTTGGATTTATCATGAAAAATTACCTAACAAAAAGTTGGTTTAGAAATACTTTTCCACGATTTTGAGGTCGTCACAGGTCAAAAATGTTCAAAATAGCCGTTTTTTAATGACTTTTACGCAAAAATGCCTCTCCAGACTCATAGACAAGAGTGCTTCATCAACGATGATGAAGCCGAAATGGCATGACTTGAAAATTTTACGATTCATTTTCTCTTGAGAATCATTCATGATGATTATGACGCTATATATGAATAAAGTTTCGAGAGCGTTGGATACTAGGGTGGTGCGATTTTGATTTTGCAGAGGATTTCAAAACGTCGGGTGTGGAATCGATTCAGCACCTAAAAAGAAGTAACTTTTGTTCTGGGACATATGCCGAAAAGTTTATTCTCACTTTCCGCTACAATTTCTCTCCAGACTCCCAATATTATGCAAATACAACCTGAAAACGACTTCATTTTGTCTAATTTTTGACGAGGAATTCAAATCTGATCAATAGATGCACATAAAATAGTGATTTGGTGGCTCTACAGGCTCGAATATACTCGGAAATGGCCGAATAGTCGCCATTTTACGCTACATATAGCTGAACTAGTCCAGTTTTATTCGAATTTGAAACATCTGAAGAGCTATTTCTACTTGATTTTTGACGTAGAATTGATTTCCGGTTTGATTTGTATAGATTTATGTGATTTTTGTGTCGTAAACTGCGTCTATTTTAAGCAAAATGAGGAAATTACATCCATGAGCTTCGGTTTAACAGTGATATTACCTCACTGAGTAAACAATTTCTGCCTTTGCTGCCTTTAAACTTCTAGTGTGATCCCCCACAAACATTTTGAGTGCCCATATGACCAGATCAAGTGATGTGTTCATATATTTCTGGGCTCATATTCGGTTGGTTTAATTTCAGATCTTGAAAAATCGACTTTTGTTCAAAAAAAATTCCAAGTATCCACATTTCATGGTTGGTGTCTTGTTAAACCGAAGCTCATGGATGTAATTTCCTCATTTTGCTTAAAATAGACGCAGTTTACGACACAAAAATCACATAAATCTATACAAATGAAACCGTAAATCAATTCTACGTCAAAAATCAAGTAGAAATTGCTCTTCAGACGTTTCAAATTCGAATAAAACTGGACTAGTTCAGCTATATGTAGCGTAAAATGGTGACTATTCGGCCATTTCCGAGTATATTTGAGCCTGTAGAGCCACCAAATCACTATTTTATGTACATCTATTGATCAGATTTGAATTTCTCGTCAAAAATTAGACAAAATAAAGTCGTTTTCAGGTATGTATTTGCATAATATTGGGAGTCTGGAGAGAAATTGTAGCGGAAAGTGAGAATAAACTTTTCGGCATATGTCCCAGAACAAAAGTTACTTCTTTTTAGGTGCTGAATCGATTCCACACCCGACGTTTTGAAATCCTCTGCAAAATCAAAATCGCACCACCCTAGTATCCAACGCTCTCGAAGCTTTATTCATATATAGCGTCATAATCATCATGAATGATTCTCAAGAGAAAATGAATCGTAAAATTTTCAAGTCATGCCATTTCGGCTTCATCATCGTTGATGAAGCACTCTTATCACAATGCGATAAAATGATACAATTGTTATCAGTTAAATTGTCGGCAGAAAAGTGTGCATGCGATAAAATGAATTTAGATTACAATAGTCAGTCTGTGATAAGTAGCATTTGAGTAAGTAAACAAACATGTGTTTCAAGATTGCTGAGCATCTCAGCATTTCGTAAGGCACGGATATATCCGAGCATATCGACGACGAATACTGTATAATACAGTGGCGTGTGTTGCTACGTGCAGCCGCAACGACTCGAACGAAGTGTGTTCAGTTGATGTGGCTGCACGCAGAAACAACATACACATTCCGGTCGAGTCATTGCGGCTGCACGTAGCAACACACGCCACTGTATTATACAGTATGCGTCGTCGATATGCTCGGATATATCCGTGCCTTACGAAATGCTGAGATGCTCAGCAATCTTAAAACACATGTTTGTAAGTAAAATTTCGAAATAGCAAAATGTCCGCAAAAACAACCGAATTGACAACAGCGCAAACACAAAATACAGCAGAAATTAAAGCTTTAACTCCGGAATGGCTGACCAAAGAGTTTTTGAAAGAACATTTTCGAAATTATTACAAGAATCCCGAGCTAGAAATTATCAAGTTTGAGGCAAAACATGTGTCAGCAAACGGTGAAAGTTTTCTTAGCTCAATGTATCGCGTGAAAGTCAAATTTACGAATTCTCTAGAAGATTCAAACGATAAGCAGGTATACAAATACTTATTTGAGTTTTCAATTGTTCAGATTTCAAATTCATTTGTTGACATTTATCGCTTTGCTTCAGTCGATTCTCGATACAACACTTTAAAGTAATTTCAACAAATTACCCATTTGAATCCTCAGGAATCAATTGCCCATTTAATTATCAAAGTAGCGTTTTCGGATGAAGATGCACTTGATGTAGAGCTTCAACAAAATATGTACGACAAAGAAATCGAATTCTATGGGACAATTGCTCCGCAAATAAATAAAAAATTGCAAGAACTCGGTGAACCCCAACTGGTTGCTGAGTGCTTTGGTGTGTGCAAAACAAGACGAATCATAATTTTGGAAGATTTAGCAGTGAAATCATATGAAACACAGTCAATCCAACGGGGTTACAATATTCAAGAGGCAAAAGTAATTCTGAAGAGATTGGCCACATTCCACGCTATTTGCGCTGCATTACAAGATGAACAATCGGATATTTTTGCCAATATCAAAAGTGGTAAATAAAGACCGAACTCTCATTTTGATGTTGATTCGATTTAAAGGTGAAATAATATTTTCAAATGTAGGTCATTTTACGCGTGATATGGATACCTTTAACAATATTTATGTTGGCAATTTAGAAGTGATTATTGAGGTTATTTCCAATTGGCCCAATTTCACCGTTTATGCAGAGAAATTGCGACGACTTCAGAACGATTTGATTGAAAGATTGCGACAACCATATGATGTTAAACCAAATCAGTTCAATACATTGAATCACGACGATCTTTGGTGTCCCAATTTAATGCTTCAGTTCGAGAATGAATCCATTGAAAATGTGGTTTTCATCGATTTTCAATTCGCTTACTGGGGATCATCTGCAACGGATCTACACTATTTATTAGCATCTTCGATATGCAAATCACTTCGACCCCATTGTTTTGATGAATTGACCAAATTCTATTACGGACATTTGATTGGCATTCTTACCAAGCTAAAATATCAACAACACATTCCTACATGGTCCGAATTTCAAGAGCAATATCATCAAAGGCATTTCATAGGTATGATTCGACATAGTTTGGTTTGACTTTATGAATTTCGAATTGATTTGAATGAAAATTCTTTACATTTTATAAACTCATGCCCGATCCAAGTGGTGTGCATTCAAAAAATTTAAAATTAGCGATCAGTTATCGCAAATATTTGTATCGTTTCTGCTTTGTTTGGTCAAAGAATAGCTTATTTTGCGTCAATATTGAAAATTTTCATTACACAGCATAATTGTTCCTCTTATATTTATTTCAATACAGCTTTTGCAGTGTAGTGCATGATGTTACCGATTTTAGCCTATAATACTGAAAATTTAGGCATGGAAGAGCTCGTAAAGAACGATGACATCGGTATGGCATCAAAACGTAGACTATTTCAGAGTGAACCAGTTCAAGAAAATCTACGGCAACTCATTCCATATTTTGATCAACTCGGCACTATTGATTGATCGATTTTCTATTTTCAGTTCATTCTCAACTTTGATTTATTCTTTTGAAAAGTCTTAATAAAGGAACATGATTCAATTTATACTTAAACACACAGAGTGTGAGTGTCAATATATACGTAATTTTCCCTCTAATTGTTCTTACTTTTAAACAGATTCAAGTGTCTTCGGACAAATGTAGTACGATCTGCGTGCGTTAAAGCGGTAGGTGCTCAAATCGACGATTTTTCATTGAAAATTTGACCCATATTTATACATTTCTATGCCGCTCTGTGAAGTTCATTGTTGTGAGCGTATGTGAATCATTCGTTTATCGCCGCTAGCTTCATAGAGCGGCGGCTTTCATGAATAGGTGGCGTCTTGTTGCAAACGTCAAAGAAAAATTACATTGGATGTAAACAAAGCGAGCACCCATCGCGTCATAGCAACTGCCCAAGTGGTTCAACTGTGGAGATGCGCTCACTTATACGGAGAAGCGCGGAGTTGTGCGGAGATAGACGAAAACAGTGTATAAGAACCTGTGTAAGCATAGTTACCATTGCGCGCACACACAAACGCAGGCTTACGTTTGTGTTGTATACTGTTCTGTGTATCTCCGCACAACTCCGCACTTTCCCGTATAAGTGAGCGCATCTCCACAGTTGAACCACTTGGGTGCTATTTTAATATTTTGAATTTCAACCATTCGAGATGGCACAAATTATGCATTTTGCTCAAATATAACTCTGCTTGTAAACAAATGTTTTCCATACAAAATTGTATACCTTCGTGGAAACTCTTTATCAAATTTCGAGCAACTTCATGGTTTTCTTTTTGGCTCTGGTCATATCGTGAACAATTAACAATCCCGCAATAAAAATGCAGAAAATGCTCAAATATAACTCTGTTTGAAAAATTGCGATTGATCACAATTATACTGCGATAAAGTAAAAAGGTTCGAAATTCTGTGCTTTTCCAAAACGACAATTTTCGCGGGCTATTTCCGGAGTCACCGTCAATTGTACGGACTTTTTGTCTGATTTCACAGGGCAATTTGCAATCGACCAAAAATTGTGACACCACCGAAGTTTCTCTACTTGACCATTTGACATCATAGTTGTTTAATTTGCCCTCAATGAAACCTTTAAAAATATTGGTGCCAAGATCAATGAGATGCAATACATTTCCGATTAAAAAGTCTTGTATCGTATCATACCTGGACCGTCAATCTCCTTGTTGGTAACTTTATGATGTTCTTCATATTACATATTTTTTCGGAATTCACCATCAGTTCTTCGTCGGGAAATATCATTTTGTTATCAGAGTATGGACGACAGTTCCCCTTAATCTCGAATCAAACTCTACTATTTCAGTTAATTTTTTTGGCATATTTGGAATGGGAATATTTATTTTTATTAAATGGAGTTTTTGGCGTAAAATCGTTCTAAAATTTGCATGCCTCCAATTTAGAGATATTGAACGATGATCCATTAATTGACTTCTGTGCAGTTTCACGATTGCTTTGGTGTGATCGACTACGAAAGCGTGTAATCGACTGTGTTTTTTACGCGTTTCGTGAGTTTTTATGATTATCTAAACTAATATTGCGAAAAAAAAGTTTTCGGGACCAATTTCTATCTGGTTTGGTACGTAAGAAACTTGATCGTGTATCTTACACTAAAGTTACGTATATTACATCATGTAATTCACCTATGAAAAATCATGTAATTTACATGAATTTGTAAGAAACCTGTAAAAAAAAACTCTGGAGAATGATTTTTTCATAAAGAACTAATGCAAAAAACAAAAGATTTTCAAATGGAAATGAAGAAAATTTGTATTCTATTTTAGTTTTGTTCTTTCGTTATGTAAAAAATTAATTCAGATGATGAACAAAAAGTGAATTAAATATTCTTCATGTAATTATTTCATTATTACTTTTCCGCACACGAAGTGTGTGAGAAAAGTATAGCGATCGACGTGATAAAAAGTGTGCTAATTTTTGTTGTGTCCACGATAACTTTCGAACCGCTCAAGCGATATCGCTTAAATTTGGCCAGGAGTCACAATTAGTAAATATCTTGGATGTATCAAAAGTTGGGCCAAATTGGACCAGTTCATCTGGTACTTTTGGGACATCATAGAAAATCACCCAAGGGTCCCCCCTTGGATTATGTCGAAAAAAATGTCTTTTTTCATCAACCTAGAGTGGATTGTTGTATCGTTCTCACATAGTTTTATAATATTAGGCAGTGTTAAATGGTTTATAACACGATGGCCGACCATGATGGCCCAAAAACTACGATTTTTGGTTGTGTCCACGATAACTTTCGAACCGCTCAAACGATTTCGCTCAAATGTGGCCAGGAGTCACTATTAGTAAATACCTTGGATGTATCAAAAGTTGGGCCAAATTGGACTAGTTCATCTGGTAATTTTCGGATGTCATAGAATTTCACCACCAGGATTTTTTTGAATTTTTTTTTTCTTGTTATCATAGAACGGATTTTTGATTTGTTTTAACACGATTTTATCATGTTAATCCGTGTTAAATGATTTATAACACGATGGCCGACCATGATTGACTTTTTTTCTATTTTTTCTTTAATTCTTCTTTAAAACTTTTCATTTTTTACTGTTTTTACACGATTTTCCCATGGTAAGTGATGTTAAATGGTGTTATAACACGATGGTCGACCACGATGGACTTCATACCATTTTTACATAGTATAGTCAATATGGGTATCATATGAAAGGTCTTTGAACGGAGATGAACATGAACACCATCCCGGTCCATCACGGTTATGTTAACACCACTTAACAGCATTTTTTTATATAAATAGTTGACATATCTATGGGTGAGATTGAGAGTGGAGTATGTTTTTTCTTCGATTTATATTTTTGAAAAGGCGAGTATGTTTTCTGATGATTCTGTTGGCGTTAAAGTAGAGTATGTTGTAGTACCGTCTAGCCTCCGCGGTCTTCACGGTTTTCGCGCAACTGATAAAAGATAACAACATGGTGTCTTCGGCAAAGTTGTAGTACTTGAGGTCTTCTATAACTAAGCTGAAGAAAGTTATCTCTTATCTATTATCAGTTGCGCGCAAATCGCGCACATAAAAAAGCAAATTTTATATAGAACTTTTTTTTTCTTATCATTTTTCGCGCTTTTCGCGGAACTGATAAGAGATAAGAGATAACTGTCTTCAGCGATGTTATAGAAGATCTCGAGTGCTACAACTTTGCCGAAGACACCAAGTTGTTATCTCTTATCAGTTCCGCGGGAACCGTGAAAAACCGCGAGGACCCGCTAAAAACGAACATACTCGCTTTTAACCATTTTTAAGTCGACGAAACTTGCTCTTCTCTTTCGTAACAAAGTCAATCAAACATACACTACTCTCAAACTCACCCATAGATATGTCATATGGGTGTCATATGAAAGGTTTTAAAACGGGCGTGGACATGGACACTATATCCGTCCATAATGATGACCATGATGGACTTCATACCATTTCTACTTAAGTATAGTCAATATGGGTATCATATGAAAGGTCTTGGAACGAAGATGAACATAAATACCATCCGGGTCCTTCATGGTTATGGTAACATCACTTAACAATTGCAACATTCCATCCAAGTGATCTATATTTTACATTCTACCGAAAATGTGCGGAAAAGTTCGTTTTACATGGTAAAACATTTTATTTAATCAACGTTTTCATTCGTCTTCTATCAACTATTTATGGAAATATTTGCATAGTGATTCGGTAATTCTGCATTTCCATATAAATGTATTTCCAAAAATAGTTGAAAATGTTTATTGAAAATTTATTATAACATTATTTAAATCAAACATAAAAGCATGCAAAAATTCATTTGGCTACACGTATACTTGATAACACTGCGAAAAAATACACTCTCTATAAAAAAAATAGCTGGTGGTTTCAAACTTTTGCATGAATAATATATTTAGTAATTATTTATCAGCTAACGCTGCAGAACGAGCATGTTTGTACTCTGTATACTTTAAATGCTTAAAACAAACGAGAATAGTCGGTTTTTGTCTATAACTCTGCACTTTTTGGAGCGTTTTGGAGTTTATTACATGCGTTGAGGTTTCTTACGTAATAAACGTAAGATACATGTTTCTTACGTAAATTACTTACACGTTGCTCGAAATACGAAAATTTACCAACCCAGCGTGCTGTCAAAATGGTTGTCATTGTGGTGGTGCTGACAATACTATTAAGATCGTAATACCGCGGTATATCTGAAAAAATCTCAGATATCTCGCACAATCTAATAAAATTGAATTTTTTTTTTTAAATCAATAAAAATCAATAGAAGCTCAATAGAATTTTTTCGTGATATTCCCCTAGCAATTCTCATTTGCATACATTTTCTCATTAATCAAAACCAATTTGTTTTGATTCAGTTATTTAGTCACGGGAACAATATAAATCATAAATGCGCAATGCCTACAAAGAAAACTTTTGAATAAACATTTCAACAAATTTCAATTGAAACCAAAAACAAATATATCGTGACGATAACAACTTATGTTCAAGACGTTGTTGCATTTCACTGCAATAGATTCCTATGTTTTTTTAAAAGGAGATCTTAAACAATTACATACCGATTCTTCGTCAAGAAGAATTACATACATGATGATGACAAGATTTCATACATGTTCACTCGGCCCCCAATCACGATCACCGGCGTACCATATTCATTCCGTAGACTCTATTCACTTGGAAGGATAGGAAATTCTCTGGCAAAATAATAGTTTGCGGAATGAAATTACATTTTTCCTACCCAAAAGAAAAGGTCGCAGAGTAACATTCGTGCTCAATATTTAATTTCGACTCTGGGAGTGTGAATAAGCCTGTAATCTTTTGGTTCATGAACCATTGATCAAAAATCAAGTAATATTCGTTTTTGTCGCCAATTCTAAATAAGCTGTACTACGGATTTTCATATTTATCAGCATTGGGTAATCAATGTAAAATTATCCATATAATTTTACTTGTTAGAGAACTGGACGGAGAACGAGTCAGTTTTCAAAGTATGGCTTGCTCGATGATTGGAAACTGAAGCTAAGTTTTTCTAGTGCCCATGCATGAACATTTTTGGTGGCCCAAGGTGACCGGAACATTGTAATGCGACTTTTCGTGTGTCTGAAAAAAGCGTTGGAAATGCAAAAATGACATAAAAGTGATTTTTTTTCTTTTTTGCATGAAATCAATGCTTTAAATTACAGCTATCATTTATTTTTATTTTGTCCCGATTTGTTCGGGATTTTCCCGCTCTAGCGGTCAAATTTATGTAATTGTATGTCATTGATTTTGAAAAATTCCTTAATTCGGCTCATTTCTTCCACTTCGGAGCTACAATTGTAATATTAATATTCCCGATTTGAGCCGAAATGCATCTGCGAGGCCTCCATCACCAATATTAGATGAGTAACAGACCAAAATCTGAAGAGGTCAACTTTGAAAATTCCCCTGAATCACACAAACTTTCTAGGTCGATAAAATGAAAGTCACTATTAAACATTCAAAACTCAGCAAGACTTTCACTCAGCTATGGTAGTACTAACACCTCTGATATTCCAAGTTCTGGTCATTTGACTTTTGTTTAAAATTGTTGCACTGTATAATTAACGAAGTGCATCTAATTTATGATTACGTTACACAAATTGGAATGGCTCTTTGATATCGGTGTATGTACCACGGTAAAAGTGCAAGTGAATTTTAAAACTGTTAGAAACACTATAAACGTAGTAGCAATTATTTCCGGAAAATATTTCACAATCATTAATGAATTGTGACAAATTCATACAAAATGGTTTTTAAGTTTATTTTTCCATTTCTTTTTCAATTAAATTCGCTTACATAATAAAGCATAAGACCCCGATATCGGCTTGTATAAATGCACAACTTCACACATTCTGAGAACAGTTTAAGTTTCTAAGTAAGGTTGATTTCTTTATAACACACACACACACATAATGAAACTAACGTTCAATACAATATTTAATATATTGATGCTAATGTTTGTCTTATTTACAGCAAAAACAGTGGCTAAAAGTAGTAAGTATAATGTGAAAAAACAGCCGGTGGTGCAAATAAAAAAGAAAATTTTTCAGTAATTATATTTTTTCGAATGATTTGTAATTAAAATGTTTCCTCATTAGCAGGAGAATTGGCCAACGGTGACCTTTGTTCATGGAACGATGGTCGATGTAGAGAAAAATGTTCTGCAGATGAGGAACCAACCGGACAGAAATGTCCTGGAAATACGATGTACTGCTGCGAGAAACGACAGGTATCAGAATTGCATCAAGTTTTATACTTTTTAGTCAAACTGTGCTTTTGACCGGCGCAAGATAGCGGTGGCGCCTATTAGCAATTTGCGGAATTTTTAAGAACTATCAATACTTGTTGTTGTTGTCATGAATTTCGCAACAACAAGAAGTATTGATAGTTCCTTAAGTTGCCGCAGATCCTATTTAGGCGCTACCGCTATTCACTGTCACGTCAAATACATTGGTTCTTATGGGAGAGAAGCACAGGTTGTTTTTAGTTTAGGCGCGTTTAGTTCAATTTCGATTTTTGAATTTTTTTATTACTTCTACTAATTAATTTTATCAAATTTTTTTTCATAATTTAGTTGGTCAATATGAAGGAGGCCTCATATGTTTGAAGATATATTTCACGTTAATTTGCGGCTGAGCTATGAAAAAGGCCTTTGAATAGACATACCGTCCCCTTCTTTACTGTCGAATTGTTATACAAATTTTATGTTAAAAAAATAAAATTAGTCTAATCACCATGAATATGTTTGGCTAGGAGCTAGACACGGATTTTTTTATTGACAAAATCTGTTTTTATCGCCCAATTTTAATGACTTCCGTAAAAAATTGAAAAAAATCTGTATATCGGCCATTCCACACGAAATCAGGGAAGAGTTGTAATGTGAGGTCGCCGAATTTGCTGAAAATTGGCTTGGAGTCTTGTTTTCGATAGAAAAAGAGAAAACCAAAATCTCAGGCCTAAAAGTGGCCCGCCTTTCTGAGTTAACCCAGTGTGAATTTTTGGAAAAATTGAAAAAATCGAAAAAAAGGGTTTGCGCCAACTAACTAAGAAGTAGTTGACACATTACCAAACCATTGGTACCGTTGGAAAGGAAATCGATGGGCTACAAAATCCGCCTAGTAACCTATCCTCTATAGCCCCATTGGAACCTCCAAAAATGTGTTCAAAGTATAAAATGTTAAATATCTCAAAATAGTGGTTTTTTTTTATATGTTTTTTTTGCGTTTTTTTGCGCTTATGTCGCGCCGCTTCAGATGGAAAAATAAAATTTCGTGTATACCCCTCATTCAGTTCGTGTATCTGGCCTCAGCAGTTGAATCATATGTCATTTTTCAGCGTTTTTGTGGGAAAAATGGTCGAAAATGGCCTCTTACGACATTTTGATATGAGAAAACTGCTATTTTTTCGTCAAAATACATGAAAAAACGACCTTTTCCACATCGGTTTACCTATAAATTTGGTCCGAAACTGACTTTTCTTCATAGAACAAACGAATGGTCGAAATCTGCTTACAAAATGACATTTGTGGCATAGAAAACCCACCTATAATGGGCTGTCATGATTCTATTTCCACGTAATTTTTGACGGAAAATCGATTGAGACTTATCTCAATCCTGTCTGATGGGTCTAAAAGGTCGAAAAATGACCCTGCTTCAGAGGATGTTTTCAACTCGCAATAAAAACACTTTTTTTGCTTCAATAATTCCCTATTCTGCATTTAATCGTGAATGGCTTTTATTTTCCAGCGAAACAAATGAAAATATACCAATTTGCTTACCATTTGGGCTCAATTCAGCGTTTTATATGTAAAATCTCCATTTCGAGTGATTTTTTCGATGCTAAAGTCGATTTGAGACCAAAATACAACAAAATGGGTGTTTGATTGTTCACAGGCCCCCATTATTTTCGAAAATAAATAGAAGTTTTCTAACGTAAAATTATCGAACTACGCAAATTTAAGATACCTCCCATACAAAATGACCGTTTTTCAAAACAATTTCTACATAAAACGCTGAATTGAGCCCAAATGGTAAGCAAATTGGTATATTTTCATTTGTTTCGATGGAAAATAAAAGCCATTCACGATTGAATGCAGAATAGGGAATTTTTGAAGCAAAATAAGTGTTTTTATTGCGAGTTGAAAACATCCTCTGAAGCAGGGTCATTTTTCGACCTTTTAGACCCATCAGACAGGATTGAGATGAGTCTCAATCGATTTTCCGTCAAAAATTACGTGGAAATAGAATCATGACAGCCCATTATAGGTGGGTTTTCTATGCCACAAATGTGATTTTGTAAGCAGATTTCGACCATTCGTTTGTTCTATGAAGAAAAGTCAGTTTCGGACCAAATTTATAGGTAAACCGATGTGGAAAAGGTCGTTTTTTCATGTATTTTGACGAAAAAATAGCAGTTTTCTCATATCAAAATGTCGTAAGAGGCCATTTTCGACCATTTTTCCCACAAAAACGCTGAAAAATGACATATGATTCAACTGCTGAGGCCAGATACACGAACTGAATGGGGGATATACACGAAATTTTATTTTTCCATCTGAAGCGGCGCGACATAAGCGCAAAAAAAAGCAAACATATAAAAAAAAACCCACTATTTTGAGATATTTAACATTTTATACTTTGAACCCATTTTTGGAGGTTCCAATGGGGCCATAGAGGATAAGATACTAGGCGGCTTTTGTAGCCCCATCGATTCCCTTCCCAACGGTATCATAGGTTTGGCAATGTGTCAACTACTTCACAGTTAGATTTTAGTTGGCGCAAACCCTTTTTTTCGATTTTTTCAATTTTTCCAAAAATTCACACTGGGTTAACTCAGAAAGGCGGGCCACTTTTAGGCCTGAGATTTTGGTTTTCTCTTTTTCTATCGAAAACAAGACTCCAAGCCAATTTTCAGCAAATTCGGCGACCTCACATTACAACTCTTCCCTGATTTCGTGTGGAATGGCCGATATATTGAATTTTATCGTTTAATATCGACTATAAACGTTTAATGTGCTGATGTCATTACCGATTCAAAAATGCTGGAAGTGGGTTTTGGTGGATCCTCAGGATCGTTTAGTACTGCTCCCGGTTCTGGAAGTGGATCCTCAGGATGGGCCAGGGCATTGTCAAACCCAGTCTGGTCCATCCTGAAGATCCACCAAAACCCACTTCCAGAATCGGGAGCAGTTCTGAACGATCCTGAGGATGCACTAAAACCCGCTTCCAGAACAGTATGCATTCGTTAAAACGAAAAAATATCTGCAAAAATCGGGCAAAATCGACCAAAATGTTATCATATCGGAATTTATTTGTTTAAATGATAAAAAATGTTAAAGTCGGTCACTTTTGGTTATTTTCAAAACCGTGGTTAGCCCCTAGATGTTTGGCTATTAATTAGTTTTATAGATGTTCCATAGTTACCCATCAAAATGTTTTAATCTAGCATTTTAAACTCTTTTTTTCGCTCAACACGTTTCGAAAATACCCACTTGAATATTTAATTGAACTAAAAAACCACACAAATGAAAAATGTTTTCACTAACGATCAGAGCTTAAAATAAAGATTCTCTTTGATTCACATTTTGCTGAAATCAAAATCCACTGGTGCGTAAAAATCAGCGAATTGACAAATAAATACACAAACGCACCCTACACAGAGCAGACAAAATGATTCTACAAAGTTCTGCTACAATGGAATGCATAGAACTTCATTCGCTATGCATTCGTATACACATTTTGCATACTGTATGTCTTACTTATTGTTATAATAGCATAGCATATACTGTATGCCATACAGTATGCAAAATGTGCATGAGAATACATAGCAAATGAAATGCTATGTGTATATCCGCAGTCAATGTGTGACTGATCATTTCAATACATTGGAAAAATATGCATACAATTGGTTTTAACGTGCGCCTGTCTTGTATTTTAATTCACATTAACCATTTATCTAAATTCAAATAAACCGATTGAAACCGCAATATTCATCACATCAAATAAATTCACCGTTTGAATGTCGCGTTAACCCCGATTTTTTTTTTTAAATAGACGTTAAATCGAGTTAAATTCATATTTTATGGTGAGTTCTTAACACTATGACGGTTCTTCTGACATTTCACATATTCCTGTTCTTTGGGGACCCCAGGGCCCCATATGTACTTCATATGAAATCTGGACTGTGATAAGAGATAACAAAATAGTGTCTGTGGCAAAGTTGTAATACTCGAGGTTTGCTATAATTTTGCTGCAACAAATATTGCTTATCCCTTATCAGTTCCGCGAAAAACGCGAAAAACCGCGAAAATCGCGAAATTTTCCCACCTTAGTTTTAGTGAAGCTGATAAGAAGTAAGAGACTTGCTTCTTCGGCAGAAATGTAGAGCAGGTCGAATACTACAACTTTGCCACAGACACCAAGTCGTTATCTCTTATCAGTTACGCGAAAAAATGATAAGAAAAAATTCGCGGTTTTCGCGGTTTCCGCGTAACTGATAAGAGATAACGACTTGATGTCTATGGCGAAGTTGTAGTACTCAAGCTGCTCTACAACTTTGTCGAAAACCATCTTGTTATCTCTTATCAGTTTCGCGGAATACGCGAGAAACCGCTGAAAACCGCGAAAAAACGCGTTTTTTCTTATCATTTTTCACGGAACTGATAAGAGATAACGAGATGGTGTCTATGGCAAAGTTGTAGCTCTGGTCGAGTACTATGATTTGCCACAGACCCCAAGTCGTTATCTTGTATCAGTTACGCGAAAAAATGATAAGAAAACATTCGCGTTTTTCACGGTTTTCTGCGGTTTCTCGCGTATTCCGCGAAACTGATAAGAGATAACGAGATGGTGTCTATACCAAAGTTGTGAAGCAGCTTAAGTACTACAACTTCGCTGCAGACCACAAGTCGTTATCTCTTATCAGTTACGCGAAAAGCCGCGAAAACCGTAAAAAACGCGAATTTTTTCTTATCGATTTTTCGAGTAACTGATAAGAGATAACGACTTGGTGTCTGTAGTGAAGTTGTAGTACTTAACCAGAACTACATTTTTGCCATAGACACTATTTCGCTATCTCTTATCAGTTTTGCGGAATACGCGAGAAACCGAAAAAAACCGTGAAAAACGCGATTTTTTTCTTATCATTTCTTCGCGTAACTGATAAGAGATAACGACTTGGTGTCGTAGTTAAGTTGTAGTACTCGACCAGAGCTACAACTTTGCCATAGACACCATCTCATTATCTCTTATCAGTTCCTTGAAAAGTGAGAAACTATGAATTCGCGTTTTTCACGTTTTCGCGGCTTTTCGCGTAACTGATAAGAGATAACGACTTGATGCCTGCGGCGAAGTTGTAGTACATAAACTAGTCTACAACACTGCTACAGACACCAAGTCGATATCTTTTATCATAGTCCAGTTATAATATAAAATAGCCATGGGGCCCTGGAGTCCCCCAAGAACAACAGCGTAACATGTTTTGCGGCAGGCTGTATTTTACACATACTCACACATATGCATATGTTTTTTTTTCATTCGTGTGGAGAAATGTTCAATCTATACAATGAGACTTGACTCCGTTTGATTTATACACTGTTTAGTACTTTTATTCAACTTTAAAGTTCGCTTGGGGCCCTGGATTCCCCAAGAACCGTCATAGTGTTAATTCACCGTTTGGAATTTTTCGATTCACATTTTCAAATCTTGATTCACCATTTTGGACTTGATTCACTTCTATTCTA